AGAGCAGCGTCAAGTGGCATTCCTCAGGGGTAGGTATTGGGACCGGTGCTGTTTAATCTTTGTCGGCGACGTGGCAGTGGGATTGAGTGCACCCTCAGCAAGTTTGCAAACGACACCAAGCTGCGTGGTGCTGTTGACATGCTGGAGGGAAGGGATGGCATCCAGAAGGACCTTGACAGGCATGAGAGGTGGGCCTCTGCAAACCTCATGAAGTTCAACAAGGCCAAGTGCAAGGTCCTGCCCATGGGTCGGGGCAATCCCAAGCACAAATAATACAGGCTGGGAGAGGAGTGGATTGAGAGCAGCCCCGAGGAGAAGGACTTGGGGGTGTTGGTTGACGAGAAGCTCAACATGACCCAGCAGTGTGCACTTGCAGCCCACAAAGCCAACCGTACCCTGGGCTGCATCAGAAGAAGCGTGGCCAGCAGGTCAGGGGAGGTGATTCTCCCCCTCTACTCTGCTCTCGTGAGACCCCACCTGGAGTACTGTGGTCAGCTCTGGGGCCCCCATATAAGAAGGAGATGGACCTGTTGGAGCGAGTCCAGAGGAGGGCCACAAAGATGATCAGAGGGCTGGAGCACCTCTCCTGTGAAGACAGGCTGAGAGAGTTGGGGTTGTTCAGCCTGGAGAAGAGAAGGCTCCGGGGAGACCTTATAGCAGCCTTCCAGTATCTGAAGGGGCCCTACAAGAAAGCTGGAGAGGGACTTTTTACAAAGGCATGTGGGGGTAGGACAAGGGGTAATGGCTTCAAACTGAAAGAGGGTAGATTTAGGTTAGATGTAAGGAAAAAGTTCTTCACTGTGAGGGTGGTGAGGCACGGGAACAGGTTGCCCAGAGAGGCTGTGGATGCCCCATCCCTGGCAGTGTTCAAGGCCAGGCTGGATGGGGCTTTGAGCAACCTGGTCTAGTGGAAGGTGTCCCTGCCCATGGCGGGGGGGCTGGAACTAGATGATCTTTAAGGTCCCTTCCAACCCAAACCATTCTATGATTCTATGTTTCCATTTAATTCAATAGAGGGAAATACACGCAAGCAGTGTTGGTCAGGAAGGGATTACTCATCTGCAAAAAGCTACCTACATCATTCAATGTTCTCAGAATCAAGACCTTTTTTACAGTCAGCTCTTCAGAGAAGACACATGTTCCCTATATAAGCATTAAGCACATGTTAGGTGCTTGACTAATACAAAAATAACACTGCAAAAATCAATAATTACTGCATCTTAATTTGAGGAACTAAAACATTTTTTAAAATATGGAAACAGCTTGTCAAAGACAATGCAGAAAAGCACAGATACAGAAATCAGAACATTTAATTATTTCAAATATAGGAAAACACTAACAGATTATTTAATTACTATATGCTCCAAGAATTTGCATTTCATATAGCTGGCTTTATTGTATATCTAATATGATGTTAACATACATTAGATGTTTAACATCTAATATGATGTTAAATATAACAGCGTGAACTTATCTTTTTCTCGTTCACTAGAATAGTTGTTGATTATGCTTCCAAATGCTTTTTTGTCTTATTCATTGATCTGAGTTTTACCAGATCCCAAATTAAAGAAAATCTCTTCAACATAAGTTACAGCCAACTGACTATAGTTCAGGGAAGTCTAAGATAATGAAACCATGCTTGTTTGAATGTAAGCTGTATTTGGCTTTCAAGCACACCCAATGCTCAATAAACAGCAAAATCATCACTGTATTTTTCATTTATAAAGGAAAGGGTTTGTTCTACTTTCAACTGAAGACTTTCCTTTTTTAGGGAAAAGTTCAGGGGGCCAACAAAACACCTCAAGACCCACAAATCACTATGTCATTGTACACTGTCCTTTAAAATGCATTTTTTTTCCAATAGATGCTTCCACAAAGAAGTTTTTAATATAAAATGCAACTGACAATTCAGCTTCATTACAAATCCTCCTCCAAAAGCACTCAATTTGTTTTAGATGCAATAAGCTTGCATGTTAGAAAGTAAGTAGCAGTAAGTACCCTCACTTTGTAAAAGTCTTCAGCGAAGTAGAGATGAAGTTCCAAAATGTTAATTTTAATCCCTGTCTCTCTTTATGTGACAAAAAAAAATGAAGATTAATAACTCTACTGTAAGAGGCTCATTATACATAAATACTTCTATTGTCCGATATAGTATTTAGGATTTTCCGTGTCACTACTACTGTCAGCTCACACAGGTTTGTTGGGCATGCTGAAGAGACTCTAATATAAATTCCTGAAAGAATTAATTTTTTGTAGGACTTTCATTTTTCTTGTCTTTTTAGCATATAACGACTTCCTCATATAGCACATACGTGCACCTGACGTCCACCTTATCTGAGAAAACGCAGTGTCACTCTAGCTTACATGCCAGCCTCATGCCATCCCAGCGTACAGCTCGTGACAGTTCCTAGGGAACTTTCTTATCAATCCAGGCCCTAGAGTTGAGCACTCAGAAGGGCTTAGGTTTGAAAAAGGTCAAAGGCTTCTGTCTTGCTTTTTCTAAGTTATACATAGTAGCTCTCACATCTGGAGAGTGAGATGGAATGGTAACGCTTAATTTTAAAGCTTAGTTTGATTAGCATTTTTTTTAAATTCCTTTTTGAGAAACCCTATCCTACTTTATCCATATTATCTGTTCCATAATCTTTCCCAGGTCTAGGTAGGATGCTGCTCACGTACTTCATAATGAGTCTTCCCACAGCAATCATAAAACAACAGACAACATGACACACATCTACAACAACCCATTACTTTCTGTGCTTCTAAGCACAATTTTTCGCAACCCATCAGCACTCTCCCTTCCCCGTGCATAATTGTGCTTTTCTAAAGGGAAAGCTGGATTTCAGTGGAGCCTTCATTCTCTACCATGTGAAAGACCTTACTGCTATTGTCTCCACAGAAGTCTGTTTTGTTGTAAAGGAGCCATGCTATTAAGGACTCCTCCTTTAGCAGGAATTTCTGCCCAATGATATAGATACGGCAGACGCTGAGCGTGTGCAGCCACATAGGGTCCAACAGCAACAGCTGAATGTGTAAAATAGATATGTCCAAATTAAACAAGGAGGGAATCAAACAGAATCCAGAATAAAGAAAGGTTACTTTTTAATTTCAGCCCAGATGACTGGTAAGCACATAAATAAAGGAAGATTTGCTCATTAAAATATGTGTGCTTCTAGAGTTTTGTTTTTGTTTTTACACACCTGGTCTCAAAAACTTAATTAGGCCAACGTACAGCTGCCACACTTGCTATTTGGGTGATACTCTTAAGTGTTAGCATAACATCAACAATTTTTCAAAGATAAATTCCTAAGGGCTGCTGCTTTCATTCTTCACCAACACTAATCAGTGCCATAAAGAAATCAGAATGCTACTGAAGTCTGTGAGGCTGAATGAATCAAAAGCATACACAAGCAGAATTAGCTCTATATTCTGCGCTCCGAGTACACTGCCAGCCGGGCAGAGTTATGCTAAGTAGATAACTTGGTGAACAGTCCACTTGAAATCAAAATCGGCTAGCACATTTGCTGAACATGAATCAGCATACCAGTAAGGGGAGCAGCATTGTTACTCGTTTTGTTTCTGAACGATCAACACATTTATGTTAATGTGATGTTATTGTCACTATGCGGAAAGCCTCTTTCCCCTGCAATCTCAAAAGGTCTGCTGCATCCAGAATTTGAGTTAAAGCAATGTGGCTTCTGTTTCAGGTTTTCATTGTTCTCAAATTAAATCAGACTTCCAGTTAAAGCAATGCTCTCATTCTGTGCCAATAGCAGTCTCCTCTAAAAATTCCCTCCACTGGAATGACAATTACTATTTGGAGCATTTTTCCCTTTCCCCTATAAAGCAGAGAAGTTTGACATATGTTAGTCACTGGACTTAGCCTTGACAAATGGCCATGGGGGAAGGCACTAACATACTCCCAGCTCAGAAAACAGGGCATAAGCTTGCAGGGACAGACGAGGTATGGGCTGCAGGGTAAGTTACGCTCGTGTTCAGAAGCGAAGGAGTCCTCCTGGAAGCCAATGAAGCCAGCAAGTCTGTGCAAAGGCTCTAGCTTCCTTGCAGTTTTAAGTATTTCCATGAAAAAAAAAAAAAATCAAAATAGATCACAGAAAGCAAATAGCATAAGGTTTTCCTCCATGATTTATATACTTCTCATCAACAAGGTAATTATAAGCAATTCAGCCATCCTCAAATATTTATCAGTCTCATTTTATTAGACTGCTAATCCCAACAAGGATTAGCACCCACTCATTAGGTCAGACCAATTTCTTCTCAATGCCACAGCTCAATCACTTGGACTTTCTACTACAGAAGCATTCACGAGAGCAGATTTTGTATTAGCCACTGATAAAGCACTGCAGGTTTTTATATTCATTATTGATTTTATTCTCCTGTTTTTCTTCAGGCATCTCAGGGAGGGAACAGGAGAACAGCAAAGAGTAGGAAGGGTTGCAGAGAGAGGAAGAATTAACTAGACAGATATGTAACTTCAGGGTTATTAAAATTTATGCCACCGATTTCTGCTCCAGAACGAAACTCCAGATTTTAATTTTCATTTTTAAAAAGATTAAAACAGAAATTTAAAAAGGAGTGAGGAGTACTAACATGTCTACACAGAATGCCAGAATATAATACTTTATCCTGTCTTCTTTTGAAAGAAAACCTGAGAACCAGTTACTAAGTACCCTTCTTATCATACTCTTTCCTATTGTTCCTGGAATAATTTCCTAGTAAGGAAAACAAATGTAAATTTTGTTCCTACAGAATGACACAGATGACCTAGAAACACTTATGAAAGAGAGCAAAATATTCCACATAAATCTTTGCAGGACTGAGTCCTGTAATGCTGTAATTTATTTCTAATTCCCTGAAACAGTATGCAGATGACATACCAGTATTATACACACATCATCCAAAATGACAGCTGATGCTATTATAGAGACATTCGGAATCACAACAGGGTTAGTACTCAGTCCCTTATCATCAGATCTCACAGATTTATGTCCTTCCCTGCTTGCAGATTTAGGAGATGATCCTGAATTACACTTATTCTCCTTGCACCTCAATTTTCATGCAGAAGAAATTCACATGCAAAGGCAATGCTCAGGGAAGTTGGTCTGTAAGTGCCTTCATAAAAATCACTTGCCACATCCATCACAGAGTGCTTTTTAGCACCTCCCAAGTTGAGCCCTGTCCCTAGTCAAAGCTGCAGTTATTCTTCAAAGAAGGGTAATAGATGACATCACCTACAGCTGAGCAAATTGACACTCCCATCTGAAGTCTCTCCTCATTAAAATAACATAAGCAGAACATTATAATTAATAGAATCATTATCATTTAACTACAACCACCTTGACCTGCCCTGTCAGCAGAAAGAGTCTTAAAGGTGGATAAAGTTTGTGCCAACTTGTACCTCCTCCTCCTCCATATCACCAGAAGGAAGGAAAAGGGCCACAATACAAATCGATGTAGTTCCAGCAATTACACAAAGACATTTCTCTCTTCTGCTTGACTCCTGGAAATGAAAACTGACCCATTTATAACATTTGATCAGTTTTCCTGCTACTTTATTAATTTTCACAGCTGTGACAGAACATTTGGTCCTGTGTTGGGCCAAGAAAGATTGAACTGCTTAGCTGCCATCTGTGCCTTTGAAAATGCCATGCAGTGTCTTTATCTCAGATACTTTTGTATGTATGCATATGAGCACATCCTGTTTTGAAATGCAACAATGCTGTTGGTTAATACTAACAGCAAGGGGTTACAATTTTAAAAGAGAATTTGTCTTCGAAAAATTTCTTAATTTTAATATCTTCCCTAATTATTCAGAAATCTAATGGAAGATCCTATCTGAGGAGTGTGCGAGGCTGCATAATGTGCTTTTGCTCAAAAGTTTCATCATATCAAAAGAAAGGGCAAGTATAAAAAAAAAAAGGCAACAAAGCCAAAACCTAAGTTATTGATTAATTGCAGACATTTAAAAGAGTAAAAAGATGTGTGGGTACTATGAATCAATAGATTCAAATCTAAAGCAGGCACACCATAAAGGCTGCATTTTGATTTTGAACACTTTGGGGATATCCCCTATTCAGATGATGAATACTGGTAAAGACGATAGCTCTAAACCACTACAACAATTGCTTTATATGTTCATTCAACATATGTTTAAAAACCTGCATATATGAATTCATTATGATTTTACTAGCTGACACTTGCCCCTTCTTTTAAAAACCCAGATGACAGAGATATTGTGACCTTGAAAAATTATGTGAAATGAAATTCCCTCCACTGAATGAGATCTATCACTTTGGGCTATGTTCTACATTGTGCCCAGTATCTATCCAAGTTAGAGTGATATAAAATGCGTATAACTTATTTTGCATATTACTAGGTTTAATTCATAGTAGTATGACATCATCATTGTTTCATAGTAATGAAAACTCTTAAAAGAAGGAAATCATGTAATACAGTTGTACTATAATTTGCATAAGGAGTGCATGATCACTTACTCTTATCTTCATCTTAAATAATATATAGGTCAAAAATGGTGTTAATATGAGCTGTTAACAACGCACTTTGTACTCAAACAGTCTCACAGGCAAAACCAAACCAAAAAGAGAAAAAGAATACTTTAACCAGCTATGTAACAATTAGACTGAAGTCAGACTTTCCAGAAACACTGAGTTTTGGGCTAAGGCAAAGCACAAAAAGCTTTGGCCTCACCAAAGCCTTTGGCACAAGGTCAACAGCAACTGGAAAAGAAGAGTTTGGCAGAACAATGTCTGCATTTGACGCTGCACGTGCTCGCCTATCTCACCGAGTTGCAGATGCTGAGATGCAAAGGCCAGACCCCAGGAGGGGTATCAAGACATGGAAGCTGCTTCTCTGTTTTTAAACCCTGCTCACAGCTGCCCAGGCTCCTGGCAGACCCCCCAGCCTCTGCTTTCAGGTTCCGTTTTCGGTGACACTAAACTCCAGCAGAGACAGCCCCAGAGCATGTGAAATAGAGGAAAAAAAGGCTCAGGACACATTTCTGCCATTATCACAACATATATGCATTGCCTTGACCTCATTAAAGAGCGTGCCGCACAGCCTAGTCCCCCTTCTGAAGGGCTACGAGGGCAGGGAGCAGCAAACACCCAGGGCGAGCGCTGGGTCCCGCACGAGCTGTTCCCAGCCGTCAGCTCCAGGCAGGAGGATCTGCCCCTCTTTACCCTGAAAATACCACCACGTGCTGCAATTTGGTAACATATAAGGCCAAAGCAAAATTTAATCCGAGTTGATTTTCTCCCAAAGATGGATACAGATTAATCCTCTCTGATGGCAGGAAATAAATTGCTGGTACTCCAGACATATTTTTTTATTCGGAGTCTTGTCATTTAGTGACTGCATCAGAGATGACATGGCTGGGAGAACAGGGAGCTCATTAACATCCATCAGCACGTGGCATACAATATGCTAACTTCAAATTTGTCATTTGTACCCCAACTCAGTCATGCTCCTTTAGTACCAGTCAGCTAATGAAAAGTACAGCAGTTGGGATATTTTGACAGAAAAAGAAACAAAGCAGTGAATTAAATTGGCAGTAGCAGCAATGCAGAGCCACCGAATGAGGAAGACAAGGCATGAGATTGTGCTTCCCCACACAGTAACAATGGTTAGAGGTGAAAATAAGTGGCCCAAATGCCAGCACTGGTTGGAAGCACTCATGACCTCATAAGTCAAACCAGCATGACCTCTGCAAACCAGGAGGTAGGACCTGAAACTGCAGAAACTGCTTCAGTTTGCTCACTGTTGCCTTTTCTCTTCAATGCAACTTAAAGAGAATAATGTCCTCCTGACTTTAAAACATAAAAGTTTCTACTGAAAAAAAGCTTATTCCAGAACTTGGCTGGGTCAGGCAATATATATGACCTACCAACTTGTACAAGAAACTTTCAGACAGCCAAATTCCAGACAGCACCAGGAATATTTTACAGGACAGGGATGTTGGGCTCCTTAGGACTCCACAACCTCACTCAAGACAGACTAGCTATAGCATACAACGGGTCCCAGTGAATCAGAGCTTTTGACATTACTTATTTTGGGTCATTTCTTCCCACTGTATGGGATTCAGCTTGCTCAGCAAACCCAGCACAGCCCCAGTGCTGGCCAGCTGACCTTACACTGTTATTAGAAATGTTTTCAATCTGTATGGAGCAGTTCAAGCACCAAAGACTACAAAGCATGAGTAGACCACGTAACAGGTAACCAGGACCTATACTAAACCGCAGTATGTACCATACTAGAATGTAATACGCAGCCAGGACCTATAACAACATTTTTTTGCTGGTCAAAAGGGAAAAAGTATGATGCTAGCAGATAGCATCTGAGATCTTTAAATTTCATTCTAAGGCATAATCAAACCAGCTCCTCTCCACAGCAAGAGGAAATTAGAAGACAAGCTACAATTTGACAATTTTAGGCCTGTCCACTTCTTATTGTTTCTAATATGATGAAAATAATAGCTTAAACCAAAATTTGCCTCAAGGACTCTGATCTCTTCTTCAAAGAAATCAAACAATGAAGGAAACAGCTATGAAGTCCTATTAAATACATACTGAAAAAGCATTTTAAAATCATCTGTCTGGAGAGTTTCAAGTGACTTCCATACTGTGCATTATGGCATGAAGTAATTTCTCCATGTATTTACTGCCCCTGACACCGAGTCAAATTAAAAAATATAAAAAGTCAGTCTAGAGGGCTTGGGTTTGAACGACACTATGCGTTGCAGTCAGAATGAAGATTTGCTGCTGGGGAAGCGGGAAGAATACTTTTCTGTCTGCATGGTGTAGTGGTTCACAACAATCGCCCTATCCATAGTGACCCACAGATGACTGCACAGCATGCATCAGAACAAACACTAATTCTGACCCTGCTCAGAATAACGAGAGCTGACTGGCCCAGTGCATTGCAATTGACTGGCAGAGTCCCACAACAATTTATGGAGCTTAGAAGTAAATACACAGTGTTGTGGCTTGATATTTAATACAAAAGGAAAAGTGGTGCCTGCATTACAAATACAGACCTCTCCCTCTGCCAACTACTTGATTTGTGAAACTGTAAACGAAGACAGGCACTAATACAGTAAACGCACTACTAGATATGCGTTATTTATGAAAGTAGCAGCATTTAGAGTAGAATTAAGACTTACCTTTACAAATGTGGTTCTAGAGAGCTAAAAAGTGACTCTGACAAGAGCACTTGTAAAATTGTTGCTACTGAAAAATGATTGTTTTATCAGACTGAAAAAGATTAAATGAAGTATTTTCTGAAACTTGCTTTACAATTTTAAACAGTGCAAAATGGATCCTGTATAGCTGCTAATTAGATGTACACTGGGCTGAAACATACATACATTTTGCTATCGTCCCTCTAGCCCCGATGTACATACACAAAATCAACTTATAAATCCACTGCGCAGATTAAATACAACTTGTTAAATAATTCTTCCTGGGTTTATTTGGAAAACTGATTTTCTAGAATTCATACTCGAAACTGATGTATGAGAATAGGAGTCATAATTTTCAGAAGTAAATACTGTGACATTCATGAAGAAAAGACAGGTTGCAAAGACAGTCAAGCTCCCATTCTCCAGTTGACTAAGGTTTACAAAGTTGGTGGAGGCAGAAGGTTTGACAGTTTTCAGGGGAAAATAGTTTTCTTCAAAAAAAAAAAAAAACCCACAAAAAATCCCACCTCAAACCAGCAAACCTTTGGTTACTTGGAGTCCCCCTATCCCATCAAAACACATATTTTCTTACTAGAATATTTGCTATTCAGTTATGCATCTTTCCACTAAAAAAATAATTCAAATAGATAAATCTAACAAGCCAAATAATTAAAGCTTCTACTATTCACTTAAGTACAAAAGATGCCAACTAGAAAGTATGGAACTGAAAACCAATCAATCTCCTAGATCAATGCAAGACTTCAAAATTATAGGCAAGCCATCATTTATCTCAG